AGTTATAGACAGGGTTAGGTACCAAAGATCAGGTCATTATGTGAAACCAGGTGTTATGCAAGAGCTGGGGGCTCAACCCTGTCTTTGACCCAAGTGTCCCCCCTGGTTGTTCACTGCCTGTCAGGCACTCGCCAGCATATCCTTAGGATGTGTGTGGCTCAGTAGGGCCCTCTTCCCTCCATAGCTTCCCCATACTGTGGGGGGTGATGATGGTGTTTCCTGTTGCCCACTGCCTCCCATCACCCTACTCTACCTCCATCTGCCCCAACCTTGCAGCCTTGAACAACTCCCTTCTCTCTCCCTCCCTTCATGCTTCTCTCCAGCAACCTCATCCTGCCTACCTAAGACTTCCCTTAAGTAGTCTCTCTGTTGCCCTGTACCCTCTCTGGCTGAAACAGAGAAGGTGTTCTAGATGTAAGGAAGATGTCTTATTACCATGTCAGCTACCATCCCTTGCATGGTCCACTCTTTGATAAATCTCTGGTTTATCATTCTGTGTAGTCCATGGAGGGCACCCAAGGCCTAGCCCCACATGGGACCTGGACCATTGAAGTCACCCCTGAGAATTTCTCTTAAGTCGTCTCTAAGGGCGAATTGTCAGATAATGAGCTAGTTGATTAAGTGAGAAGTAGGTATAGTTCTTGAGAAAGGGGTGGTTAGAATCTCCCCTTGTTATTTCCCTCAGGCACTTGTATGTTTATGTATCTGTGAGCCTCTTGAAGGACGAGACTATGTCTGATTGCCTATGTCCCAGGCATCTCATACCATGCCAAGTTAGAATAAAAATAAAAACCCATTGCAACCCTATAGGATAGAGGAAACTGCCCTATAGGGTTTCCAAGCCTGTAAATCTTTATGGAAGCAGACTGCCTTATTTTTCTCCTGTGGAGCAGCTGGTGGGTTCAAACCACTGACTTTCCAGTTAGCAGCAAAGCACTTAACCACTCTGCCACTAGGGCTTCTTCTAGCTGGAATAACTCCCCCAACCCCCACTAAAAACAAACTAAACCTAGGATAGTTAGATCTATTCTGACTCATAGTAATCCCATATAAGGTTTCTGAGACTATAAATCTTTATAGGAACAGCTGTCTGCTCTTATAAAGATGTCTGCAGCCTCATATTTTGCCCACAGAGGAGTTAGTGGGTTTGAACTTACAGCCTTGCAGTTAGCAGCCCATTGTCTATCCCACAGCACCACCAGGTTACCTAGAATATTGTTGCTGTTGTATACCATCAAGTCAGTTCTGAGAGCAGCTGATGGGTTTGAACTTCCAACCTTGCAGTCACCCATCCAGTGCTTATCCTACCAATAAATGCTTGTTGAGTAAGTGAACAAATGATTGAACTTTGTCTCTTTTCCCAAAGCAAACCTCCTGCCTCTAGCAATTGGCCATTTATACCAAGCGCTCTCCCACCCCGCCTCACAGTAGTCTCTTCGTTTCTTTTCTGTTTGCCGAGGGCCTGGACTCAAGCATCACAGCTTATGCACACTTCCCAGTACCGGCTTCATCTACCGTCAGAGCTTTCATTACATTGTATTGTTGCTGTTGTTAGCTGCTATCTAGTCGGCCCTGACTTATGGTGACCCCGTGCACAATGGAACAAATTGTTGCCCAATCCAGGACCATGTCCATGATCCGGTGTGGATTGGACTGTTGTGATTCATTGGCTAGTTTTCAGAAGTAGATTACCAGTCCTTGCTTCCTCATTCTTCTTAGTCTCAAAACTACTGAAATCTGTTCAACATCATAGCAACACACAAGCCTGACAAGTAATGGCTGCAACAGATGAGGTGCATTGTTGGTAATGGAACCCTGGTCTAAGTGTCTGTTGACTTGGTTCTTCCTTTAGATATGTGAACACATAGTGAGCACTCAATAGCTAGTTGTATGAATAAATGAATAGCTGTATGAGCTATGTTTGCCAACAGCAGTGGAAAAAAAAACAATATCTTACTGGAAAAACATTTCCTGATACATGTCAGGCAATGGCATAAAGGGACAGTTTATGGGTGATTAAGGTGACTTACCTGCCTTTACCGATGAGGCGGTCTGCTCCCGTAAAGATTTACAGCCTCGGAAACCCTGTGTAGGGTCGCTATGAGTCGGAACCGACTCCACGGCACTTAACAACAACAACAACAACCTGCCTTTACCAGTTAGGACTAAGTTTAACATCAAATGACAAATACCTGGTATAACAGTGGCTCCTATAAGATACACAGTGATTTCTCTTTTGTCTAGGTGGCTACCCAGTTACCAGGACCGTACTTTAGTTTCATTGCTCCACAATCCACTTCATGGTCCAAGATGGCTGGCCCAAGCTTCTCTTGTTGTTCAGTGCTGTAGAGTCAGTTCCCACTCATAGAGATCTTGTGTAAGGTTTCCAAGGAGTATCTGGTGGGTTTGAACCACTGACCGTGTGGTTAGTAGTCCAGTGCTGATCCTACAATGCCACACTAGGACTTCAACCGGAGCTCTAGACATCACAGTGCATCTAGAAAAAGATGACAAAGGGGTAACCTCTTCCTTTTACAGATAATTTCCATTGTATTCCATTGGCCAGAACTAAGTCACATGACTGTGTTTAGCTGTAAGATATGCAGGTAAAGATAGTCTTTATTCTGAATGAGCACGTGCCCATCTGGAAGGTCAGGCTTCTGGTTGGGAACCAACCAGTGGTCTCTACACAATGCTTTTATAACTGCAGGGAAGGAAAATCCTTTCAAACTTGCTGTAAGACTAATAGGCATTTGTTGGATTGATTTGGGGTATTTCACAGAGGCCCAGGGACCAGAAGATGGAAGGGCCTATCAGATACCAGAATCTGAAACTGCCAGAATCCAGGAAGCTGTTCTCTTCTGCCTTTCTGTGGCTACATGAGGCTGATTTGATTTTTAACACATCTCCTTGTTCTTTTCTCTCTACACATGGTGGAAAGATGTCCCAGCTTTAGCACTGCCACACAGATAACTAACTTCCCAGAGCCTCAAATCCAAATTCTCTGGAGAAAGACTCTCATTGGCCTAGCTTGGGTCAGGTGTCACCACTGGTCCAGTTCACTTTGTCCAGAACAAACAAGGCAACATGCAGAGCATAGGATAAGAGGAGACTCCCCTCCAAAAGGTATCTAGAACATGGACATACACTCTTCGTTCTGTGTCCCAGGACTTTTAAACCATCGTTCATTCAGACAAACAGTTATAGAGCACCTCCTGTATGCCAGGGACATCGATCTGCTTTCTAGGAATGTTTCTAAATCTCTTTAGAAATTGTTTATATTTTAAACTTGAACTATCTTTTGGACTGGAGTCATAGCTCCTTAAATTAATCATCTTTGAGTTTGCCCTTTTTAATTTTTTAGGGTAAGGGATCGTGTTCTAACATACTGGATTTGGTGAATGTGTCTCCCTGTTTGGGGCTCTGGGAATTACAGAGGTGACCGACCATGTTATCATCTTTTTGTCTCTCCAGTAAGAAGTGTCCTAGATATTTAGCGGACTCAGCTATGGCTCCTTCTCCCCAGTCCATCTGATTCATTGGCTTTCTTCCTTCAGCACTGGGATGGGCCACCACTGGTCCCAGGCACGAAAACATCTCAAGTTCATGCACATACAGGGAGGGGAATGTTAGACTTCTATAAAAAGTACCCAGAATTTAACAGAACTTTCCAGAATCAGCCACAGAGCATAGATAGAGTTCACTGAGTACATAATGTACGTAATTTAGCCCGGCAGCAGACTAAATCCTCTACACAGACAATTTCATACACACAGTCTCACACCAACCCTGAGAGGTAGGTCTTGTTTCCCTGTGTAACAGTTGGAAAATGAGGAAAATCAGAATAGTCAACTTGCCCGAGGTCACAAAACTTCCTAAAGTTTGAGGGCCTCGAGAACTCTCCATATTACCTCCAAGGTCTGTGCTTGTCTCCTGTGAATATTGTTTAGAATCTTTGAAGGTACCATCTCAAGTGTGTTTGCAGAGTCTTGTCATGTTGAAGCAACTCTTTGGACAAAAGAGGTGACGTGATGCTGGGGTCAGAGTGGGGCAGAGGTGATGAGAACGCAGCACTGTACTGGAATGTCACTCCAAAACCCAGCTCAGCAGTGGGACTCTGGGTAAAGGCCCTTCTTTTGGGGTTCAGTTTCCCCCTCTGTGGTCCATGGACTCCTTTTAGTGCTGCCTTCTGTAATTTCTTAGTTCAATGCATTTCAGAAGAGTTTCATGAGGTGGGCAGCTTCCATACCCCCCTGAAAGAGGGAATGTATGTGGGAAGTCTCCCATCTGGGCCAAGCCCACCTGGAGCATGAGTCCTGCTTCTCATCCTGCCATCTTCTGACCTCTTCTCACAGTCTAATGTTTGTCCTATAACCCTCATGTTGTCCTGCACCTCCTCACGTGGTGGTGGAGTGCGCTTTTTCTACCTCCTCTCACTCCCTGGACCTGGATATATGAATGCCTCCAACCCCTCACCATCCATTACATCCAACCTCTTCCTCCTTGGCCTCACATGGCTGCTTATTGAGTCTGGGATTTAAATACTGGGCACGTGTTTCCCTAGCTGTGTCTTGGAGGATTGCTGAGATGTCTGGGTTTTTACCTTTGCTCCTTTGCTCATCATTTTATATAGATTTATCAAATCAGGAATCCTCTCAATGAGGCTGTGGTGTCATCCCCATTTGACACGCAAAACACCTGAGGCTCAGAGAAGCTAACAGTTTTGTCTGGATTGGCACACTAGTTAGTGCCCTCAGGGCTGGCATTTCCCTCTGTGCCTGTGCCTTTGAATCTCTGCATTTGCTTGGCCTGTATTGGACTTGGAGAGAAAAGCCTGTGGCCTGCACAGAGCGGCGTGTCAGCACTGTGCTTTCGAGAGTAGAAATGGAGGACCCTCGGGAGGTGTTCCAAAGGTCAGCAACTCTGTATGTGTGTATTTGGAAGAGAAAGCACCTCTACCCAGACAGCACCCCTGAGTCTCTGTGCATGTTTGCTTCCAGAACCTGGAAGGAGACCAAGCCATCCTGCAGAGAATCAAGAAGTCCGTGCGTGCGATTCACAGCTCTGGCCTGGGTGAGTGAGCCAACATGTGTGTGTCCAGCCTGTTACGGCAGCTCTTTTCCCAGCCTGGAGCTTCCCTTTCCTCCCCCACAGGCCACGTGGAGAATGAAGAGCAGTACCGAGAGGCTGTGGAGTCCTTGGGCAACAGCCACCTGTCCCAAAACAGCCACGAGCTGTCCACAGGCTTCCTGAACTTAGCTGTGTTCACTCGAGAGGTGGCTGCACTTTTCAAAAACCTGGTGAGACACCTCACCTTCCTCAGCCAACCCTTAAAGCAGGCTCGGGTAAATCTAGTGATTCAAAGAACCTGACCTCCCTTCGGTAGTCTTCCGTGACCTCCGACCCATGACCTGAGATCTTTTTGCCAGGTCTGACCTACCCCTTACATTCTCCTCCTTCCTATGACTTCTAGTACAACTACTGCTTCTCTGTGCCATCTCTGCTTCTCCTTCTAGTGAGGAGCTGGGGTGGAGGAGGGTTTCTAAAGGAAAGAGCCCAGGTGAGGGAGTGTTCCCTGGGGGAGGCTTGGGATAGGAAGGGCTGTAGGGTGCTCTGGAGTGAGGTGAGCTGAGGTGAGGTAATGAGACTGAGTAGGTCTGCCTTTATGGGCTGTTTTATGAGATGTCTTCTTCCCCTTCTCCCATTTGTCTTTGCGTCTGTCTCTCCTTGTCCTCTGTTACCCTGTTGTTCCCCTTGTCTCATGGTGCTTTATTGCACCTTGAGCCCCTTGTAGCTGATCAGACAGTAACTCAAGTTGGGGGTGGGGCTATCTGCTTTTTCCAGGTTCAGAACCTGAACAATATTGTCTCTTTCCCCCTGGACAGTCTCTTGAAGGGACAACTAAGGGACGGGCGGCAGGTGAGCTTCAATTGGGAGTGGGGGTGGGGTGGGGTGGTGCATAGAAGAAGAAGGGGATGGGCAGCAGACCATAGGAGAGGCAGAGCTGGGCCAAGGGCTGAGCCCAAGTGAGGGGGCTGTCATGGTGGCCCTGGAGAGGACCCTTGCTCTAGCGTCAGCCTAAGGCAGCTGACTGACTGTCAGACCTTCATAAGAAATGTCTCTTGCTGTTCTAACTATGACCTATGAGGGAGGATCCTGTTCACTCTGCAGTTGAGGAAATTGAGGTTCAGAGAGTTACATGACTTGTTTGTGAGTGGAGGAGCCCATGTAGAAATCAAGGATTCCCAACTCCCACTCCTGGGCTGTTCTCTCTGTGTCTGCAGCCCCTGGCTGGAAGCAGACTAGAGCTCAAAGAAGGTGACAGAATGACCTCCCTGGGAAGTCTGCTGTAGAAGACCTAGGAGAGCAGTTGTCCTCTCTGCAGAGGGCTCCTCCCTCTGCAGGCTGGGAACCAACCACCCAAACCAGACAGGCTGCTTTTTCACTTGGCTGACTGGGGCACTGGGAAGTGGGGGCTGTTCAGAAGGGTGTGAGCAGCCCGACTGGGTGAGGCCCAGGTGAGCTGGGCCAGGGGTCAGCCAGGTCTTACTGGCTTGTTGTGAGGTTTTGAGTGGATTTCTCAACCTCTCTGTACATATGTTTCTCAGCCTGTCCTCTCCCTGGTGAGAGGATGCTGTGGCGCCAGGCAGGAGAAAACAGTGGAGTAAAGTTAGGGGAGGAGTTTGGCCTTCATCCTTCCATCCTGATCCTCATGGCTGATCTCCATCTTCTGTGGAACCATCAATTCCCCCACCCCAGGCCAAGGCCCACCAAACCTGACAATTCTTAGCTACTTGGAAGAGTAGGTTGGGTAGAAGAAGATACTCAGCCCTGAGAAATGGGGTCAGTTGGGAACCCTCCAACAACTTGGGGCATGGGACCAGGGGCAGGGTTGGTTAGAGTAAAGCTCAGAGCAGCATATGCAGATTGGGTCCCCTAAAGGTAGCAAATTGTGGTGCGTCTTCCAGTGTCTAAGTGCCCTGTTGGGCAAATTATTCTTTTTAAACCTCAGGATTCAAAAAAGCAGTTGGAGAAGGCGTGGAAGGACTACGAAGCCAAAATGTAAGTGTCCGCAGTCAGGTGGGCTATCCAGGAAAGTCATGCCTATGTTGTGCTGTGGTTGTTGTTGTCAAGTGCCGTTGAGTCGGTTCCAACTCATAGTGACCCTATGTGGGGTTTGCGAAGAGTGGCTGTTGAGTTTGAACTGCCGACCTTGCAGTTCAAACTGATCTTTCAGTCCAGCGCCCCCTGTTGTGCAGGAGGCTAGATATCAGGAAGATCCTAAATGCAGCCAGGATGTGTCACGCAGAAGTGTGTGGTATCTCACACTGTCATGGGGTTGACAGGAAGTGGTTTATGTATAGTTGTGTTTGGAGTCTAGGACCCACCAAAGGGGAGCTATTGTGAAGGGTCCTCAAGGTGCTGAGCAGATCCACCTGCTCGGTGAGCCCAGAATGAACATGGACAGGAAGAAGCTACCGTTTACTGAACACCTCCACAAGCTGGTCATTTATTCCTCACATTCGTCCAGCCCTGTAAGGGAGATATTCGTTCCCAGTTGTCAAAGGAGAAATTGCAGGTTAAGTCACTTGCTCGTGGTCACACAGCTAGTCAGAGACAGACCTGTGGTTCTTGCCCCTCTTTCTATGTCATCCGGCAATGTCTATAAACATTTAGTTGGACGTAGAAGATGATGAGAGAGTTGTTATACCTCGGCTTCCTGTGTATACCACATAGTTCTCCAGATCACTCATCAGTTACTGGGGCAGTTTGGGAACAGAAGGCACCTCAGGTACCCAGTTAACCACTTTTCCACAGTGGAGACTCCTCAAGCTGCCCCTGCCCCCAGCCCTCAGCCCTGCCCTCAGGGCCCTACAATAACTGACCTCCAAACATTGTCCTCCGTAAAAAAAAAAAAAAAAATTTCTTTTGCAATTTCCAAAACTAGTACACATTCATTGAAGAAAAAATTTCAGTTATTCTTAAGTGGAAATGTGGGAAGTATCTGATTCTTTTCTCTTTTCTTTATTTTTTAAGCAAGCTATGAGTAACCATAATTTTTTTTTTTTAATAGGAAACTACCAAAAAAAAAAGTAGAAATTTCTTAATTTCCAAGTCTGAAGTGTGAACATCTTTTTAGTCATGCTCTTGGTCTTTATATATGTTTTGGCACTGTAGCATAAGCGCTGGACCACAAGGTCAGTTTGAACTGCAAGGTCCGTGGTTCAAACTTACCAGCTGCTCAGAAACTCTATACAGGATCGCTATGAGTTGGAACCAACTCAATAGCACTTAATAACAACAACATACATAAAGAAACAAGAAATATTTTTTTTACAAAACTGTTATCATGATAGTCATACTGCTTTGCAATGTTTTATTTTTTCCACTTAAAAATACATTGTAATCATCTTTCTACGTCTGGTAGCATAGTGGTTACAAATTGGGCTGCAAACCGCAAGGTCAGCAGTTTGAAACTACCAGCCATTCCGCAGGAGAAAGGTGAGGCTTTCTGCTCTGATAAAGATTTACAGCCTTGGAAACCCTGTACAGGTTCACTATGAGTCGGAACCGACTCCACGGCACATAACCACCACCACCACATCTTTACATAGTCACTGTTGTTAAGTATGGTACAGTTGGGTCCATTTCATAATAACATTGTATAGAATTTCTGAGGCTGTAAGTCTTTGGGAGCAAAAAAATCTCATCTTTCTCCCATGGTGGGCTTAAACCACAGACATTGTGATTCACAGTCTAGTGCCTATCGTCTAGAGCCACCACACTTCCTACATAATCATATACAACATAATTTTAATCCTCCTTTATCATTTGGAAAAGGTGCTCTGGTGGCACAGTGGTGTAAGCATTGGGCTGATAACCACCAAGTTGATGGTTCAAACCCTCTAGCTGCTCCTATGAGAGAAACGCTATGGAGTAGTTCTCTGTCCTATTGGGTCACTATGAGTCAGGGTCAATTTGATGCTGGCTCAGTGGCAGAACTTTTACCTTACAATGAGGGAGACCAGAGTTTGATTCCTAGCCAGCGCACCTCAAGTGAAGCCACCAGTGTCTGTCAATGGTGGCTGGCTTGTTGCTATGAAGTTGAGCAGATGTCTGTGGTGTTTCCACACTGAGATAGGCTAGAAGAATGGCTTAATGGTCTACTTATGAAAATCAGCAATTGAAAATCCTATGGGTCACTGTGATTTGAACCCATTGTACATGATGTTGTTGTTAAGTGCCATTGAGTCTGTTCCGACTCGTAGTATAGGTTTTCTGAGAAGCAGCTGGTGGGTTTGAACTGCCGACCTTGTAGTTCACAGCACAGTGCTGAACCTACAGCACCACACCAGGAGTTCCTTGAGTCACCATCAATCAGGAACCAGTTCAGCAGCAACTGACAACAACAATAACCAGTGGAGAAGCATCCTAGAGATTATATATGTCTTTGCACCCACCCATAATTATTTCTGTAGGGTCAAGTTCAAGAAGTAGATCCTGGATTTTGTATTGCCTCTCCAGCTCCTAGAACCATGGAGACCTCCCTGAGTCTGAAGAAATGTGGCATCCTCTCTTTCCACTGAATCTGTGGGTGTCAATCCTTTGGTGATGGGTGTGGGAGCTGTGGGGCCTCCACTGCAGGTGCCTCATCACTGCCTGTAATGGGCTGGGCCATCTGTTCTCTTTAGAGACCCAGAGAGGTATGCTGGGGACGCAGGCTATCTTTGTCTTTATGATTGGGTGTGGGGCTCAGGGCCCTCACCTTCCTGAATTACCTTGACTAAGCCCTTAACTTTTAGGGCATCATCTGCCAAGTGGAAAGAAAAAGCACCTCACCCTCCTTGCAGCTTGCCTATAACATTTCCTTAAGAGAAAAGAGTCCGTTTTATCTTTGGGGAAAAAGGTTTCTTTAGGTTATTTGCTGAGGTATTGATAAGACCTGAGCTAGAACCCACACTTCTTTGTCAAGCGCTCCTTCTCCACACCGATGGGTCTCCTGGTCCCTGCCGTGTACCCTACATAGTTTGCACTATGTAACCTAGCACAGGTGTCTGTGTGTTTCCTAGGGCTGCCATAAGAAATTGCCACAAACAGCAGAAATTTATTCTGTCACTTCTGGAGGCTATAAGCCCCAAATCCAGGTGTTGGCAGGGCCATGCTCCCTCTCACAGCTGTAGAGAAGGTTCCTTCCTTGCCTCTTCCTAGCGCCTGGTAGCTGCTGGCCTTTTTTGGCACTCCTAGGTGTGGCAGCACCTCTCCAGTCTCCGTCTTCATGTGGTTATCTCCCCCCAGTGTTTTTGTCTCTGTGTTCAAATTTGCCTCTTATATGAATGCCAGTCATTGGATTTGGGCCCACCCTAATCCATCATGGCCTCGTCTTAACTTTACATATGCAAAGAAACACCCAATTTCCCAGTAAAGCCAAAGTCACAGGAACCAAGACTTGGGAAGGACACAGTTCAGCCCACACCACATTGCTTTCCATCGGGGTTCCAGATACCTGTGAGTATAAATTACTGTGTAACTCCACCTTGTTCTTACCAAACCAGTCTGGGCAGCAGCTCATAGGGCCTCTGAGCCCTGATAGTATCTGACGGATACCAATGAGAGCCTCACCTCCTGGCTCTTCATATAGGAGGAGGGTTACCTCTTCACCTGAGGCTGCCAAGAGAGGCCTCTTAGGCTCTGTGGAGGGGCCAAGTGTACGCAGGCTGTTCATTCTTTGTGTGTGTTTCCTGTAAAATGGGGCCAGTGATATCTTGCAGGGTTGATGTGGGAATGGAATAAGCACAATGCATATCAAGTGCCTGGCATGTTAGTATTTATTGACCATCAACTCTGAGCCAGAGAGCGCAACAGGGGACTGGGTGCTGGGAGCCCAGGCCTCAGTTCCAAGCATTTCCTGGACAAGTTTGCCGTCTAGTCCTTTCCCCTCTTTGGTCTCAACTTCATCATCTGTCAAACGGTCCCTGACTGTGATCTCTCAGAAAAGAACTGGGGTGGTTGTCACCAATTAGATGAAGTCAGGGGAGGGGGAACAGAGATGAGTTGCAGAGGCAGTTACCAGGGTTGCCCCCAGACTCAAGCTGTGTGACTTGGGTAAGTAACTTGTTATCTCTGAGCCTCAGGATCCTCATCTGTAAAATAGGGCTATGATTCTTGCCTCAAAGAGACACCACTTTACCATGTGAAGGGTCTACCAGAGAATGTGGCATAAAGGTATTGTGTGCCATCAAGTTGGTTCCGACTCATAGTGACCCTGTATAGCATTTCCAAGGTTTGTGGGAGCAGAAAGCCTCGTCTTTGTCATGCAGAACAGCTAGTGGGCTCGAACCACTGACAGTGTGATTTGTAGTCCAGTGCTTATCTTAGGGTACCACCGTGCTCCCTTAATATAACATTAAGTGGACCTTACTATAAGGAATCTATGTCAAACATCACACATGTTCTTCTCATGGACAATCTTACTTTTCCCTTCTAACAGCCGTGAGTCAACTTTTCAGAAACAGACTAAACAACCAAAAAATTTTTTTGTTATTTTATGGGGAGCCACCCCTATGTATCACTCCCTCCTTTGAGCATGAACTTCTGTAGAAACTTTATGTTCACTATTAAATGTAGGGCAAAGCCATATGTTGTTGTTGTCGTTAAGTGCTGTTGAGTCAGTTCTGCCTCATAGCAACCCTGTATAGGGTTTCCAAGGAAGAGTTAGTGGATTTGAACTGCTGACCTTGTGGTTCACAGTCCAGTACTGATCCTATAGAGCCACACCAGGAGTCCAAAGCTACTGCAGGAGTTCATTGTTCTTTCAGAGAAAACGATTCAAATTAAGGTTGGATCTCTTGAGAATCTGGATTCAAAATGTTCAGTAAAGGGGTAATAGTTTAATCCCAATTGCCTGAATAATTTATTTTAGAGAAATCAGCCTGAGGCCCGTTGCTATGAGTAGGAGGTTAAAGAAATCCTAACTGTCGGACATTTCCAGCATGTTTTATTGTTGTTGTTAAGTGCCACCAAGTCAGTTCTGATGTATTATGCCCCTCCATAATCCTGATATCAGTCACCACTCTCCCATTCTTCATGTCCCAGGGTTCTACAACACGCTGTAGTATCTCACGAAACTCACAGTTGTGGAGGCTGGCATGTCCCAAATCCATAGTTCAGAGACCAGTCTGGAGGCATGCTCTCATCCACGTAGTCTCAGGAGTTGAGGAACCTAAATTGGCAGGTCAGAAGACAGACTGCTGGTGCAGTAGGCTGCAGGGGCTGGTGAATCAGGTCATGGGACTGGCCGAAAGTCCCATGAACTGGAGATCAGGTGTAATGAGCCAGATACAAGATCCAGGGTAAGAGCGAGAGCTTTTCTAAAGCAATCCTATGAGGGTGAGTCAAAAATTGCCCACACTATGACTGTAAGAATTTATTTTAATCAACTTTTAGAAAAGACAAATACATCGTTTTTTCAAAATAATCTTGCTTTTCAATACACTTTGTCCATCTGTCAACAAGCTCTCATATTCCCTTTTTAAAAATGTTTTATGCTGAGCTGGGAGCCACAAATGCACTGTTGTCGTCACGTCTTCATCAGAGGTGAATCTTTGTCCTTGAAGGGCTGCTTTCAGGGGACCAAACAGGTAAAAGTCTGATGGAGCAAGATCAGTACTATAGGCAGGATGCTTTAAGACCACAAAAGGAAGGTTTTGCAGAGTATCAACAGTGGGTAGAGGTGTGCCGATGTGCATTGTCATACAGTATCACAAGGCCCTAGAATAGCAGTCTTCTGCATTTAATCTGGTTTAGGCTTCAGCTCTTCAGTGCACATCTTACTGTAACGAGCACTGTTGATTGTTCAACCTTTTTCCTGATAGTGTTCCAATACTGGCCCTTGAGAATCCCAGGAAACTGTAAGCATCAATTTTCCAGCTGATGGTTGACTTTTGAACTTTTTCTTGGTCGGTGATTGAGGATGTTTCCATACCATACTCTACTGTTTACTCTCAGGCTCACAGTGATGAATCCATCCATGTCTCACCACCAATAACAACTTTTTAAGAAACTTTTACCTTCCTCTGAGTATTGGTCCAAATTTTGTTTGCAGATGTCCAAACACTTCTGTTTATGCTCTTCCTTGAATTGTCTTGGTACCCATCTCACACAAACTTTTTGAAACTCAAGTCTGTGATGGATTATTTCATAGGCAGAGCCATGGCTGATTTGCAGATGGTTTGCCACATAATCCGCTGTCACTCATCTACTCAACAGAATCATGTCACATGCACGCACAGTGTGTCATCAGCCATGGTATGTAGATAGGCGTCTTAATATAACTGGAGGATGGATAATTTTTGACCCAAACTTCTATAAATTGAACCAGACCATGCCCCCAAGAGAAACTAAGGTGGTGATTGAGTCATACCCTCTAGTCAGGTGGGAGCATCCATAAAATTTAGTTCCATCATTATCCTTACCCCTTGTTGTTGTTAAATGCCATCGAGTTGGTCCTGACCCTTAGCGACCCTCTAGAGGGTTTCTAAGGAGCAACTGGTGAGCTTGAACCACTAACCTTACAGTTCAAACTGACTTTGCAATCTAGTGCATTAATCCACAGTGCCACTCTAGGACTCCTTACCCCTTAGTTCCACTTTAATCTTGCCTCTTTAACAACTCACTTCAAAATGGGTTTATAATCACAAGAGTTGTTGTTATTATGTGCTGTTGAGTCTATTCCGACCCAAAGCAGTCCTGTATAGGATTTCCAAGCAGCAGCTGGTGAGCTTGAACCACCGACCTTGCAGTTCAAACGACTTTGCAGTCTGACGCATTAACCCACAGCGCCACACCAGGACTCCAGTCACCAGAGTAGAGGTTAGGATTTATAATATATCACAGAATGGAGAAATTTGGCTAGAAGGACCATAATAAAAAAGTAACTACCATGCAGACCACACCCTGGCTCTCAACCATTTGTCCTTTCAAAAACAAAGTTAGTACTTAAAAATAATAACCAGTAATAGTGACAGCTAATACTTAGTGAAAACTTCCTTTGTCAGACACTGTGATAAGCTCTTTATATCTGTCAGCAGCTTTGTTCCTAGGGACAGGGAGAGAAAATACTGTCATCATCCCCAATTACCAAGTGGTAGGAGGAAACGCAGTGCCAGCACAGGCCCACCTTGGTGGGCGCCACAGCCTTGTAAGGCAAGAAAGGTGGGCCCAGGCATAACTGAACTACGAACTGATACCACTACACTGATAGTATCAGCAGAGGTAGCAGGAAAAGAAGGTCGTCTTCTTTGGGTGGAGGAAGGGATGGTAAGAAAAGACATCATGGGAGATGTGGCACCTCAAGGCACCAGAATTGGTGAATGGTGCATGATTTGTTGGTATTTTCTTCCTCGCCTATCCCCCTCATCCTGGCTACCTCAAATCACTGGAAGTTCTTGTTCCCCACTCTGAATAATAATTAGATTGTTGCTGTACAAGGAGACTTAGTAAGTTTGTAGGAAAATGGAATTTTCCACCGACTTTTTGAAGTTCCCTTGCCTCCATCTCCAGTCACCTGACCTCCTAGTTACTAGCATTTAATCTCTTTGTATTTACTGTTTCCTTTCATTCCTTCTGCCACAACTCCATTCAAAGGAAATAAAAATACCCCAGCATCTAAAATGTTTGCAAACTGTGATCATTTGAGGATCTTCTCCTTTCTCTGCTGCTCATTACCAGATCCCCAAAATATGCTTCATTTGCCCTGACCCTCAGAACCAGTTCAGAGAGTCCGCACCCCAACTGACCCTGCCACAAACACTTGGGGTATCATAAAGCTTTGGGGAAATGAAAAATACCCCCTTCTTAGAAAATTGTTAAAAAAACAAAAACAAAAAACGAGAGCAAGGCTGCCCTATATCAGTGGTTCTTAACACTGGTTAAGGGGTGGCAACATTATTCCCCCACCACACACACACACATACACACACCCTGACAGACATTCTGAAACATCTGATGACATCTGTGAATGTCACAAGGGGTTGCTACTGGGAGGAGAGGCCAAGGCTGCTGCTGAGCATTGTACAGTGCCCAACCCCAAATGTCAGGGACTGTAACCCCAGGTTTAAGGTTGCCATACAGGTGTCCAGAGACAGACTCTGCAAACAAAACACCTCAATAAGGCCCAGAACTTTAGAGCCACAAGCCACCAAAAGTATTCATCTGAAGCTATTGCACACTCTTTTTATAGACAGGAAACCTGAGACCTAAACCCAGATCAAACCCACTGCCATCGAGTCACTTATGACTCATAGCAACCCTGTGGAGTCCTGGGGTGGCACTGTGGGATACATACACACTGGACCACAAAGTTGTTTGAACCACAAGGTCAGTGATTCAAACCTACCAGCTGCTCTTCGGAAACCCTATACAGGGTCGCTATGAGTCAGAACTGACTCAGCGGCACTCAACAGCAAGCAACCCGATGGAACACAGTAGACCTTCTCCTTGAGGTTTCCAAGACTAAATCACAGGAGCAGATAGCCTCGTCTTTCTCCTGCGGAACAATTGGTGGGTTTCAACCACTGTCCTTGCAGTTAGCAGTTCAGCACTTAACCCACTCTGCCTCCAGATATCCTACAGATAGAACAGTGATGCCTGAGAGCTGGTAAGCAGCAGCACCCATATTAAGCCCTGCTCTGCCCTCTCTGGGGCTGGCATCCACTGGAAAACATTCTGGTGAAGACACCTTCACTTAAAGTTGTGGTCACATGCATCCATCCCCTGATGTGGAAATACTCTCCTGTCTGGAAGTAGGCAGTCTGATGGTCATGAGATTTCAAAACCACTTCCACACACTCTACCCCTTCCCAGACAGGGAAACCAGCCAATCCTTGAGAGCCATAGGGGAAGGCTATTCTGCAATCAGAATGGGAAGCACTTGACCAGTGGTATACACCTTTACATGGAAAGCCCCGTAGGCTCAGAAGAGCCTGTCCTAAATCCCTCCTCCAAAATCAGAACTCATCCCCCCGAATCCCACCTGGTCCTATCTGAATCCATCACCTCCCTGCACAAAAGCCTTCAAATTCTTCCCAGTACCTTCGGATAAAGATCAAGACACTTGATACGGTCTGAATGTGAGTGCATGGGAGTCCCTGGTGGTGGTGGTGTGTACCGGGGAGTCAGTTCCGAAGTGTCGCCCCCCTGTAGGACAGAGAACTGCCCCGTACAAGTTTTTAGGCTGTCTTTATGGGAGCAGATCACCAAGTCTGCTGAGCCTCTAGAGTGGGTATGAGCTACCAACATGCGTCGTTAGCAGCTGAGCACTTAAGCACTGCACTACCAGGTTCCTTATGGGAGTCCCTGTGTGGCACAAATGTTTAATCACCGGCTTACTAAACTACAGGTTGGTGGTTCAAACATCACAGGTACCTCAGAAGTAATGCCTGGCAGTCTGCTTCCCAAAGATGACAGACCTGAAAACCCAATGGAGCAGTTGCACTCTGCACACATGGGTTCACCATGAGTCAGAATTCAGCTGACAACTAACAGCAACAACCTCAGACCCCACATGGTCTGGTCATTCATCTGGAACGTCCTCTCCCATCTCTGCACTCGAGCCCCTCAGACCTTCTGTGTGTTCCCTGACCCCTCCTGCCTCTAGACTGTCATGTGATCTGACCCTCCTGCCCAGCCCTAGCTTCCTTCTCAAGGTCAGTTCTCAACTCAAGGCAATGTTGGCTCCTCCCCACTTCAGGCTCCCATAGATCTGGTCTTGGTTGTGGTTTGATTCCCATCTCTTCCCACTGAGCGTGTGGATCTCCTGACTGCCTTGTTCACCACGACACCCCAGCCCCACCACACTGGCTGGCATAAAGGAGGGTCTTGTGAACCTCGAGTACCCCCTCACTCTGGGGTATCTGGGACATGAAGAGAACTGTGGGAGAGTTGTTCAGGCCTCTCTTTCCTTGGGACCTAGAGCCAAGCTGGAGAAAGAGAGGGATCGTGCCAGGGCAACTGGAGGGAGTGCTGGGGAAGTGGCCCAGGACACACAGAAAGAACGGCGCATCTTCCAGCTGCACACGTGTGAGGTAAGGGTGCCCCAGGGATGAGGGAGGGATGGTGGGTGTTCTGTCTGCCTCACCCAAATCCACCAGTCTTGGCCAGATGGCACTATGGTATGTCTGAGGCTCGGTTGTAGTCAGGAGGACCAGCCTGGGGTGGGGATGTAGCCCCTGTCCTCAGGATTCTGCTTCAGCACATCACACCTCTTGCCCTGCCATTTTTCCTAGTATCTGCTCAAAGCTGGGGAGAGCCAGGTGAAACAAGGTCCTGATTTTCTGCAGAGCCTCATCAAGTTCTTCCACGCCCAGCACAAGTACGTGTCTCCCCACGTGCCAAGGACGCTGGGCCCCACCTCTACTCCCATGCCCCGTGACCCTTTCAGGTAACACAGAGCAAGGCCTGTCTTCAGGGTCTGGCGGACCATCAGATGGCAATACATCATTGGTACTGTTTTTCATAGCTCCTCGTATCTGGCACAAAGTGCTTTGCACATTTAATCTCACTTAATCCCTCAACAGCCCTATGAGCAGGGGCTGTTATTATCCCCATTTTACAGATGGGGGAAAAACTGAGGCTCAGATTTATTGAGATCACACAGCTAACTAGTCAGTGGGACCTGAACCTAGACAGTCTGACTTCAGAGTGCCTGCTCTGGACCATCAGACTCCCCTGCCCCTTGGTGTCCTGTGATCCTTAGAGCAACTCCCTCCCATACTTCTCATTTTCCTCTCTTTGGTCCCTTGTTTTGGCCTTGAATGCTTCTTAGCTTTTTCCAAGATGGCTGGAAAGCCGCTCAGAGCCTGTCTCCCTTCATAGAGAAGCTGGCGGCCTCGGTACACACAGTAAGTCGAGCTCCCTTCTCTTCTGAAAACACCCTGGCCTCCTGCCCATGTAACAAGACCACTGGTCCACTACCCTGGGTCTGAGCTCTGCACCTGGACCTCTGCGGCCTAATGGTGGCATCCTGCACTCTGCCCCACAGCTGCGCCAAGCCCAGGAGGAAGAGCTGCAGAAGCTGACCCAGCTCCGGGACTCCCTCCGGGGGACACTCCAGCTAGAAAGCAGAGAGGTCAGCCCCTGAATGTTCCCCAATGCTCTTCCTTCTGTAAGACCCAGCAGGGAGGGAAGAGGTCTCTCTGTGTGAGAACCAGGCCAGACACCTGAGGTCTACTTTGCATGTCTGAGGAACAGGAGAGTCTGGGCCGGAAGAACTCGGGTGGCTACAGCATCCACCAGCACCAAGGCAACAAGCAGTTTGGGACAGAGAAGGTGGGCTTTCTCTACAAGAAAAGTGATGGGTAAGTGACTCAGAGAGCTTAAGTAACCTAGGCAAAGTCACACAGTAATTGGCAGGGTTTGAGGGAGCAGCCCAAAGGGGCTCTTCTTACCATTTGTGCAGGTTTCCAGGATCAGTAGGCATTACAGAAGCATCAGAATCCTGGGCTTGTGATACAGGTACATGATACCTGGGCCTGTGAACTGCCGCTGAAGATCGCTGGTGATGTTCTTTATGAAAAAGACGACTAGCTGTGTTAATACTTACGGAGTAGTCATGCTCTGGACAGTCTGTTCCATGCACTCACGCTGAGCCTTTTCAGTCTTCTGAATATGCCTGAAAATAAACGTTGGCTGTGCCTTTCGCCTTGCTTTGGGCAGTCTGTTCCATGTGCTCACTCTTAGCCTCTGGTGGTGGTGTGCCGTCCAGTCGGTTCCAATTCATAGCAACAAGGTTTCCGAGGCTGGAAATCTTGACGGGAGTAGAAAGCTTCATCTTTCTCCCGCGGAATAGCTGGTAGTTTTGAACTGCTGACGGTGAGATTAGCCACCCAACTCGTAACCACTACGTTAGCCTCTACAATCCACTAAATATACCTAGAAATTGAAATGTTGGCTGTACCTGTCTTCTTGCTGTATGGTATTTTAAAAAAAAACTGAAATGCAGAGGCCCTTATGAAATGTTTTTAATGACTAATCAGCTTTGATCAGAGAGGAGCATTTCGTTAACCCTCCCTGTGTCTCTTCCGTTGGAGACTAGAAATTCTTACAGAACCAAAGCCACACTGTCCCCTTTAGAGTATAAATTCCCAGAGAGGAAAACTGTGTTGTCGTACCCCCCAAATCAGACTGGAGCTTCCTAAGTGCAGGGCTCCCAGAGAGTGAAGTGAGTTGGGTCAGGGGAGCAAAGGGATAAAAAGGTGTGATTGGAGGTTATACAGGTGGAGCTTAGGACCTGGTTCAGGACTCTTGTCTGATACAGGGGAATTAGATGTCACCCTTGGCTAACAACCTTCCTCTCTCTTCGGGCCCTAGAATTCGAAGAGTCTGGCAGAAAAGGAAGTGTGGAGTCAAGTACGGCTGCCTGACCATTTCACACAGCACGGTGAGGGACTAGGGTCTCAGCAGGGTGCGTCCTCTCCACATGGTGTTCTAAGCAGACAAACACTGAGCCCTCCTTTCAAGACTGGCTCCCAGGATGCTTGGAAGGCTGCTCAGACCCTGTCTCCTTTTGTTGAGAAGCTGTCGTGGGGGGATAGAGTTGGATCTGAGGTGCTGGAGAAACTTGGGAAGAAGAAAGATCAGAGTTAAAGCCCCAACCTAGTCTTTACCCACACTCTACCTCCTTGAGGTGTTAGGGAAGAGAAAAAAAGCTGGAACAGGGTAATTATGCCCATTTCACAGACAAGAAACACAGGTCCAAAGAGTTTGGAAGACCCAAAGGTCCATCCTCTGTTCCCAAATTCCCACAGATAAATCGGCCCCCAGTGAAGCTGACCTTGCTGACGTGCCAAGTGAGGCCAAACCCCGAGGAGAAGAAATGCTTTGACCTGGTGACCCGTGAGTTGTCCCTGTCCCCCTTCCCCAGGGCTTTTCCAAGAGAACGGTCAGCTCTCAGGACCCTTTAATTAGGGATTTATGTCCAGTTCCACACGTATTTATCAGACAGCTACTACTACAAGCATAAATCCTCCTTAGGCCCTAGAGTCGCCTTTTAGAGGTTTCATCCTATATCGTAGTGAACGTGAAAATGATTTCTATAAAACACATTTGAGTGGATTTGGATTTTTTTAATTCTCAAAATTAGCCTTACTTTCGACTTTCCACTTTCATCCTCTGGAGCCTTTTGTGCCAGGCTTTATGTGGGGGTGGGTGCAGCCTGAGAAAGATCTAGATTCTATCCTCAGGAAGCTCTGTCTGACAGGAGTGTGAGGTCGGGACACAGAACGATAAGATGAGGAGGGAGGAGTGTCCAGAAAAGAGCTGCAGATACGGAACCACTGATGATGAGATGTGCCCTAGTACGGAGAACCAGGGAAAGCTACTTCAAGGAGAGAACAGTTGAATTTGGCCTTGAAGGCCATGTAGAGTGTAGAGTTTGGGGAGGTCATTGTGGAAATAGAATTGGCAGGGTGCAAGTGTGGAGGCAGGAGAATGGGTCTGGCCAATTTGGCCGGAGTAGAGGGTTCATATGGTGGAGCAGTGGGAGATGAGGAATACGAATGCTCCCTGAAAGAGCAGAGCTTATTTCCTAGCAATGGAAGCCATGGGAGATCTTAGGGCAGGGAAGTGGTGTGATTAGATCAGAACCTTGGGCAAGGCAGTCTAGTGGGAGGGGAGAGGTGGGAAGCAGGGAACCAGGCAACAGGCTGAGGGCATTGGGGATGAAGAACATTCTGCCCCTCAGCTGGGTGGGGTCCTCTCCTTAGGAGGCCTGCCCTGACCCTGGAACCAACGTCTGGGAGGGGAGATCCATACAGAAGTCTTACTGGTTTCGTACTTGGGAGAAACTTCTGAGACGTTGTACCCACTGCTGGCCAGACTCATTATCCTCCCCACCCCTGCTAGTTTGGGTGAGGGCTTCCTGTCCCCAGGAAAGAAGAGCAGAATTTCTGTGGGCCAGATGTCCCCTTTCTCCCAACAGACAATCGGACGTACCATTTCCAGACAGAGGATGAACATGAGTGTGAGGCGTGAGTTTCCCTACGGGCCAGCCTTGGGGTGGGGATTGTTGTTGTTGTGAAGTGCCATCGAGTCGATTCTGACCCATATCGACCCTGTATAGGGTTTCTGAGGAGTAGCTGATGAGCTTGAACTGCCGACCTTGCAGTTCAAACGGCTTTGCAGTCTGGAGCATTTACCCACAGTGCCACACCAGGACTCCTGGGGTGGGGATGTTGTTGTTGTTGTTGTTATGTGCCATCGAGTCGGTTCTGACCCATAGCGACCCTGTATAGGGTTTCCGAGGGTGTAAATCTTTACTGGAGTAGAAAGCCTCATCTTTCTCCCGCGGAGCAGCTGGTAGTTTCGAACCGCTGACCTTAAGGTTCGCAGCCCGATTCGTATTTATCCCTCAGCTTCAGCCCTACCTCACTGTGTACACTCCCCACAGGTGGGTGTCAGTACTGCAGAACAGCAAGGATGAAGCCTTGAGCAGTGCCTTCCTCGGGGAGCCAGGCAGCGGCCCAGGGCCTGGAGGAGGTGCAGGGCTGGACAGGGAGCCCGGAGACCTCACAAAGCTGCTAATCGCCGAGGTGAAGAGCAGGCCTGGGAACAGCCAGTGCTGTGACTGCGGGGCTCCAGGTCCGTCACTGGGGTCAGGGTGTATGGTGGGTTAGGGGAGGGGAAGAGTCGCACCCCCAGGACGAGCTCCTCTACCTTGCAGACCCCACATGGCTCAGCACCAACCTGGGTGTGCTCACCTGCATCCAGTGCTCTGGCGTCCACCGCGAGCTGGGTGTGCGCTTCTCACGCATGCACTCCCTCACCTTGGACCTGCTGGGGCCCTCTGAGTTGTTGGTGAGATGCTGAACAAGGATATGTGGGGGTAGGGGCAGCTTTGGCTCTGCTAGACCTTGTAGGGTCAGGAATGAGGTGGAGGCAGCATCTGGATGATCCAGAAAGGAGATGGCCAAGGATGGGGCTTGGACAGGAAGGGCAGTGAAGGGTTGGGACTTCTGGAGACTTGCCCCACCAGAGGAACCTGGCCTGACTACCCAGTTTGACCTAACCACTTTCCCGCCACCCCAGCTGGCCTTGAACATCGGCAATGCGCTCTTCAATGAGGTCATGGAAGCCCAGCTCCCCTCACATGGTGGCCCTAAACCATCAACTGAAAGTGACATGTAAGGGGATTCTCACCTGGAGGGGCATCCTGGCTGGGGGCTTCTGCTAGAGGGCAAGTTTCGGGTATCTTAGGCAAGAGGTGTAAAGGGATGGGAGGCTCAGATCTAGGAGTCCCCAGGGGAAGAGGAACCTGTGTCCTCTGGGATTGGCCCCAGGGACCTGGTGGGGGCAGACAGTCCTTCCTTTGAGATCTGTGGTTGTTTTTGGCAGGAGCCACCGCAGGGATTACATTGTAGCCAAGTATGTGGAACACAGGTTTGCTCGCCGGTCCACCCTTGAACCTCAGAGACTCCGGACAGCCATTTACAACCGGGACCTCATTTCAGTACTGGAAGCCTTTGCTAATGGCCAAGACTTTGGGCAGCCACTTCCTGGGCTGGAGGGACAGGTAGGAACCCCCTCCAAGGACCACCTACACTCACACACTCCCCAGTCCTCCAGGACAGCTGTAACTCCCCTCTGCCCCACCTCTGATAGCCACTCAAAACCCATGTATCAGAGGGATAAATGGCAAAGAGCCTGAATTTGGTCAGTCCTGTCTCTTCTAGATGTGCCATCAAGTATAGGTTACTTAACTTATTCTGAGTCTCCGTTTCCTAATCTGTAAAAATGGGTTAATAACAGCACCCTCGGGACTGAAGTGAGAATGAAGTCAAGTCACGTGTGCAGAAGGCCTGGTGCATAACAGATGTTCAATACATGTTAGTTTCTGGGTTTACTTGGATAGTCATGGAACTGGATGAGGGTTAGTCAGATTAGAGCAGGGAAGGCCATTGCATTGACTATTCCAGTAATTGAAACTTCAGGGACGTAGTGTGGACCCAGCCTGCTGAGGGACAGGAAGGAAAGGATACCAGAGACATGTGAAGGAAGGAAATGACAGAAATCGGTGACTGATTAAGCCAAAACCCTTGGCCGTCATATTGATTCCACTTCATGGTGACCCCATGTAGAAGCGCTCCATAGGGTTTTCTTAGCTGTAATTTTTATGGAAGATTCCCGCAGCACTGCTAAGTGGGTTTATGCCTCCAACCTTTAGGTTTGTTATTGTTGTTTACTGCTGTCAAGTTGGTTCTTACTCGTAGCGATCCAATATAGGGTTTTTGAGGAGTGACTGGTGAGTTTGAACTGCCAACCTTGTGGTTCAAACTGACCTTGTGGTCCTGCATTTATCCCACAGCGCCACACCAGGACTTCTTTAGGTTAATGTTGTTGTTAAGTGCTGTCGAGTCGGTTCCGACTCATAGCGACCCTGCATAGGGTTTCCGAGGAGCAGCTGGTGAGTTTGAACTGTCGACCTTGCAGTCCAGTGCTGATCCTAGGTTAGTAGTTGAGTATAAACCATGTTCACCACCAGGAACCTTCCTGACTAGACATGAAAATAGCCCTTAGCATATAATAGGCACCAGCAAAACTCATGAAGGGGTTTAGCTCTCTGTTTGGAACATTCTGGTCTTGCCATATATCTTGGTGGGGACTGTCCAGGGTGTAGCACTTTGATGACGTCAGGATTTGGAGTCGCCTATTTAACAAAGTCCTAGTGTGGAGTCCTGGTGTGGCACTGTGGGTTAATGCGCCAGACTCCAAAGCCGTTTGAACTGCAAAGTTGGTGGTTCAAGCTCACCAGTCACTCCTTGGAAACCCTATACAAGGTTGCTACGGGTCAGAACCGACTCTACGGCACTTAACAACAACAATTTAACAAAGTCAGTGCTTTGAGCCCACCAGTCACTCCACAGGAGAAAGATGAGACTTTCTGTTCCCTCAAAAGATTTCAAGCCTCGGAAGCCCTATACAGGGTCATGATTCTGACACCACGGCACTTAACAACAACAAGAACATATACGTGACAGCTGAAAGCATAGCTGAGGTTAGATGAGTGAGCAGAGAGAGGAGCCCAGGACCAAAAATCAAAATTTGGGAAACACCTTCTCTTGGGAATAAGAGGAAGAGGAAGCACTGAAGTACCCTCCTCCCAAAGATGAGGTCCTATCTGTTTCATTTCAATTCTGAGGGGTCTGGCAGCTTGGTATCTGGGAGTGTCAGGGGGCAGCAGGAACCAGTACTGGCTTGGGGACAGGTGAGCTGGGGAGACTCAGGTGTGACCCTGCATCCAGGCACCTGGAGAACTGGCCCTGCACTTGGCTGTCAGAGTCGCCAACCAGGCCTCCCTGCCCCTGCTGGACTTCATCATCCAGAATGGGTGAGAATCCCTGCTTCTCCATCCATCACCCCCACTTCTTCCCTCCTGCCCTCCTTCATCCCCTGACCTGTCTGCCTCCCTGACCACCTCCTCAGTGGTCACCTGGATGCCAAGGCCCCAGATGGGAACACTGCTTTGCATTATGCGGCCTTCTACAACCAGCCCGACTGCCTCAAGCTGCTGCTGAAAGGAAGAGCTTTGATTGGCACAGGTAGGACTTGGACTTCCTCCCTTAGACGGCTGCTCCTGACCACCCTTGTGTGGGATTGCCTGCCTTCCTCCACCCCCGCCCCTGCCCCCAAAGAGCACTGGTAATGTACCTTGCAGACAGACTTGAAGTCTAATCCAGGCGTACCTCTGACCAGCTCTATGACCTTGAAGATGTATCAATTTCTTTCTTGAACTTTAGCACCCTTGTCTGTGAAATGGGAATAATACCATCCACTTAGTAGGGCTGCTAAGAGGATGAAGTTAATTAGTCCTTTTGAAAGTACCTAGACAAATATTAGCTGAATCTGAATACTAGTGGTTGTAATCACTAGCATTTACTGCTTAACATGTGCCAGGTAATGTGCCAAGAACTTTACATATACGAATCATTTAATCCTCTCAGCAACCTCATCAAAGTGTTACAAGTATACTCATCTGGTAGGTTAGAAGATTAAGACCCAAAGATATGAAGTAACTTGTCCACAGCCACATAGTCAGGAAGTGGCAGGGCCAGGACATCAGCAATCAGGCAATCTGATTCCTCTAAGGTATAATGCCTCTTTGACCTTGACCCCTGTCTCCCTCACAGTGAATGAGGCAGGAGAGACAGCTCTGGACATGGCCAGGAAGAAGCAGCACAAGGAGTGTGAGGAGCTGGTGAGGCCTACGGGAGGGGGTGGGCCCCTGCCTCTTTCTCCCCGCTGAGCCCTGACCTTCTGAACTGCCAAGGCTTTGTTTGTGGCAGCTGGAGCAGGCCCAGGCTGGGACCCTCACTTTCCCTCTTCATGTGCACTACTCTTGGGGAGCTTCTGTGGAACCTGGTTCTGACAGTGAGGAGGATGAGGAGGAGAAGGTGGGTCCTAGCCCCTGTCCCATGGACCCCTGAGCTGGCTGGACCCCAGGGACGGCAGAAGGAAAGAGCCAGATTGGGCCTGCTGTGGGAGAGAAGGGGCTGAGCTGGAGGAACTGGGCTTTCCTCCCTCATGTTTTTGTCCCTACAGCACTGCCCTCTGAAGCCTCCAGCCCAGGCACGCTGGGCCAGTGGGAGGCTGGACATCAGCAACAAGACCTATGAGACTGTCACCAGCCTGGGATCAACCACCCCGCGGAGCCAGAATGAGGATTTCCCCCCACCCTTGCCAGTCAAAAACCCTTCTCGGACCATGATCCAAGGGCATGTGGGACATTCCAGTGGAGGTACAGTTGGGCCCAGAAAATGTTCATGAGCTCATTCATTGAGGGCCTACTGTGTGCTGGGTTACTGAGCTGAGTGAGTATGCATGTCATCCTCAGAGTCACCTGTCAGGTATGGGTTATCCCTCCCATACAGGGAATTAAACAGATGTTAGGTCACATGACCAAGGTGGTACAACTAACAAATCTCGACTTGAGGTTCAACCAGGCCTCCTTCTTCCACATTCCCCAACCTCAGTACTTCATTCCCCTTGTACTAGGGGAGAGAAAGAGAAGCATTTACTGAACATCCAGTGTGTCCCACGTCCTTCAAAGTTAGAGAGACAGTCTGATGGGGAGATAAAAACTGGAATACAGTTCATTGTAAAACAAGGCACATATAGAATTCACATATGTAATACAAGACACACTGTAGTACAAGGCTATAGAAGGTAAATCCCAAAACAACAGGGGCTTCAAGTGTTTTGGTCATTACTATTTCTCCAGCACCTAGCAACAGGCCTGGCTGTTCTCTAGAGCTGTTTGTGGTATGAATGAACAGGCCTGTTCTGGGAGCTCAGGGAGGGAGGGAGCATGTCCTATTGAGATGGGGATGGTGAGGTTAGCAGTGCTTCCTGGTGGAAGTAGCATCTGCACTCAACCTGATGGATGGGCAGCAGAACCCAAAAAGTGAGTCAGTGTAGCCATGGCTATCAGGAAGTGATGACCCAGGAGACAAGTGTGACAGGGAGAATGCTAGAGGATCGGGGCATAGGAAGGCCAGAAACGCAGTGAATACTAATGACGGGCCATATCGTTTCTGATTCCAGATTGTTCTGAAGTCCCCAGTCTGAGTTCGGAGCACCTTGGGGCTCCTGAGAGCATGGGCAGCTCAGCTTCCTCCTCCTCCAGCCTCACGAGCCCTGGGGAGTCTGGGGGTTCCAGCCAAGCCTTGCCTGGCTCTGATGAGAGTCTCCGGGAGCCCCTAGGCACCGTTCGACCCAGCCTGCCATCAGGCACCACTTCTGCGGAGCTGTATCCCCCTGTCAGGTTCAGGTTAGTGAGGGCCTAGATGAGCAACCTGGGCAAGTCTGCTAACCCCTGTGAACATCCATTTCCCCCACCCAGTGGGTACCTGCCTAAACTAAACACTGGGAATCCCTTACAGCTCTGAGGCCCAGGACTGATAATCGAGATGCTGGGCCCCTTCCCCTCCACCACACACACTCACCTGCTCCCAAGCAGGCCCAGAATGCTGGGAGGAGCCTGGGACCCAGATTGCTGAAGTGCAGTAGAAAAGACTCAGCCTTTTTGTGTGGCTTAGTCTGTCCCCTAACTCCAGCTTGGGATCCAGTCCTCTCCTTTCTTTGCACACCCTTAAGGTTTTGGAGAGTAGACTTGGGATATCCCCAGAGCTCTCTTGAGGTCAGTTCCAGGCCTCTTAGACCTGTGATGGACAGTCTGGGGGCCTCAGAGACTCTGCCCACCCAGCCTAAGCTCCCAGCCTTTTTCTGTACCTGAGCCCTATTCTCCCACTCTGAGGTGCTCTCTGGACTTGGGGATCATGTTGGCCTTTCCCTGCCTTCCAGCTCTGAGAGCACTCGCTCCTATCGGCGCGGGGGCCGGAACCTGGAAGACAGCCCGTCAGCCCAGCAGCCGCTGTCCAGGAGGAACATGCCGGTAGGCACTTCAGGACTATGATTGGAGGGGAGGTAGCAGAGTGCCTTCTGAGCACATTTAGTTAAGAGCAGGTGACTGGGGCACATATGGCCCAGTGCCACTCCTCCCTGCTCCAGCCAAGGACCAGTAGAAGCTGAGGTGATAAGTCCCAGGCCTGGCCCCTCCCCAAGGAGGATGAATAAAGCTGTGCCCGCCAGGCTGGTCACTCACAGAAGGAATTGCTTCTCTGCAGAAGAGCATAATCAGGGTCTGTGGTTTACCTAACTGGCCCCAGATATAGGAGCCTCCTGGAATCTGCTGAAACTTCCAGCTTCTAGCTAGAGAAGGATGTGACATGGATAAAGCAAAGCCATCTTTAATCTGGCTTCTCCCTGCTGAATCAGAGTTTTGAACGTATGTTTAGTTGAGGTCTTGGAATGGCACTGTAGGATAAGCACTGAACTGCTGCTACCTGAAAAGTTGGCAGTTCAGACCCACCAGCCGCTTTATGCAGGGTCGCTATGAGTTGGAATTGACTTGAAAGCACTTAACAACTACAGTTAAGGAACGAAGGACAACATGCTTGGCAAAGTGGAGGGTCAGCAAAGAAGAGGAAGAACCCCCAACAAGGTGGATTGGCAGCAGCAGTGTGCTCAAGCATGACAGTTAGGAAGATGGCTCAGGACTGGGCGGTGTTTTGTTCTGCTGTGCACAGGGTCGGAACTGACTCACCAGCAGCTACAGTTGTGGAACCTGGTGTAGATGGGCATAGGTCAGAGTCAAGTATGTGAGAAGGAAGCCCCCTCTGTTCTTTGTTCTCCTGGGCATTCCTCAGGGATGGCACTGGTTATGTTAGGAGCCGGGAGAAGGCAGGGGCTGGAACTGGGTTTCTCTGACAAATCCTCCTCCATCCATCAAAGTCAGGCACCAGACATAAATCTGGATCCACACACTGGCTCGGCTGTTTTTATGCTCGGCTGTTTTTATGATATGTGATGGAGTTGACCCCCCACTCATGGTGACCTAGAGACCAAGTGTCCATCACCCAGCATTTTAGCTGACACTGTTGTGGTAGTGGATATCACAGCAAGAGCTCAGACTTTAGAGTTAGGATTCCTAGATCAAGTGGTTTCACTTCATTGAGCCTGGACTTCCTCATCTGTAAAATGGGAATCATTTACTCCACCACGTGCTTACAGTGTTGGTTTTCATCCCTTTCTCCCCAGGCTGGCGTCACTGAAGGAGATGACTCAAAGACTGGGCTTCTCCCGGCAAGTTCTGTACAACTTTTGCAAGACTAGCTCCTTGCTGGTCCCCGCATGCCTGAACCACCACTTTGTTGGACCACACCATTCAGAGCTGGGACTTGAGACCACAAGATAGGGCCCTTGTGCATCTGACTGGGTTTCCTCCCTCCCCTGGGCCCATGTTCCTACCGAAGACACAGGCACGTCCATGTTAAGGCTAATGATGGTTTCCCAATTTATCTCATTACCCAGACCTCTAGGGACCAGGGAGCCCTATGGCTGGGCTTGAGTATTCCCAAAGTCACTTCAGCTGCAGAAGCCAACTGCCCTTGTTGGACCAGGACTTTGTTTCTTCCACCAGTCTAGGGGTTCCACCAGGATAGAACCAGCCAGCTTTTTTTCACTTTCCACATTCAGACTAAGGACTCTACCAGACCAGGGACTGTCTCCTCTACAGTTTTTTTTTTTTAATCTTCTTGTTAAACTCTCCGATTCGAATGCTCTTTTTTTTTTTTCCTAACTTTTAATTGTGCATTGAGTGATAGTTTACATGGGAGAACATCAGCTTTACATTCATCCTATGGTATTGCATTTCATTGTAATGATTCCTCTGCAGTTTTTGAGTCCAGTATTGGTTCTCTGAGTTCCAGCTATATGTCCAGGCCTGTTGGACACTGTGGCTGCAACAGTGAATAAGACAGGTGTCCTACAGGTATCCTCCCTTGTTGGGAGACTGGTCCTAGGGGTGGACTTGGCATTGCATAGGGCTAGACTGCAGAGGATGTTTCTGGGCTTAGGGACAGGGCAAACAATGAGTTAGTTTACACCATATCTCCATAGCAGTTGTCGGCAGCCCGTCTTGATTCTGTCTGCTCAAATGCAGTCCATGTTGTTACTTTCGTTGATTGCAACTCACAACAACCCCATGTGTGCGGAGTGGCATTGCTCTGGGTTTTAAGGGTTTTCAAGGTTGTAACCTTTCTGGAGCAGATTTCTGGACCTGTCTTCCAAGGTGCCTCTGTCGGTCTGAGGCACCAACCTTTCAGCTAGTAGTCTAAGCACCTAACTGCTTGTACCACTCAGTTGCCTTATAGCCTATGCTGTACTGGCTAGTACATATTCTGAGGAGGACTAATAGCCATCCTAGGACCTCTTTGTGCCGTATTCCCCAGCTAGAAAGAATAGTTAGTCTTAGCCCCATTTCCCCAGTTCTTGATTTAGCGGGAGAAAAGGGCTGATCTTCTCACTTTTCTTGGTCAACGCAGAAGCCTTCCAATCTAAGGTGAGGGAGGAAACCAGAAGGGAGAAAGAAGAATTCTGGAAATGGAAGGGCAGAGACTGACAGGTTCTGCTCCCCAGTGCCAGGAAGTCCACCGTTAGAGCCATTGCTTTATGTTCTTCAGCCTCCTATTGGAAAGCAGGTAGGCACAAGCTATCACCTACCACTAACAGCTCAGCCTTGGGCCACTGGGAGCCCAGACCTTGGTAGGTCCAGACCAGGCCAACCAAGAAACACCAGTTGATAGTAATGGCCAACACATCAGAGCTGTTTCCACCAGAGACCTGATGTGTCCACGGAACAGGGTTGTCTTTCTTCTGAACCATCAGTGTCTTGTTACGTTCCTCTCAGACTTGTTTCTTCACTCATCTCTATTAATTTTCCTGGGTGCCAAATCAAAAACCCACTGCTGTCGAGTGGATTCCATCTCATAGTAACCCTATAGGACAAAATAGAACTGTTCTGAGGCTGTAAATCTGTACAGAAACAGACTGCCTCATCTTTCTCCCACAGGGCAGGCGACTGATCGCTCAGAACCCCCTTTTGGTTAACAGCTGAACACTTTAACCACTGTGTCAGCATCGCTCCTCTGTCTCAGTGCTGGGGAGTATAAAGTGCTTTCATTCATGTTGTCTGAAGAGCAATTTAAAAAGATGTTAACCGCATCTACCAAATACATTCAAAGAGGGAACCTTAGACCTTGGAATTCTTTCTCTGAACTAAACAAGAGACACAACCTGGTGTAGACCAGTTCTCAACCAGGGACAGTCTAAAACTGGAACATCTGATGAGGTCTGGAGACATTCTTTTGACAGTCAAAACTGGGAGTGCTCCTGGCATCTAGTGGGATGTCACTGAACATCCTACAATGAACAGGACTGTCAGTACAACACAGAATCATCCTGCCCAAATGATGCTGAGGTTGAGAAACTCTGGTGTCAAAGAAAGGTCTGTACCTGGACCTACAGGTCCATACAGCTCTGCTATACACCTGGTCTCAATATGATTTATCCTGGTACAAGGACTTTGGGGACAAGTCGTTTCTGTGATAAGTGATCCCGAGAAGCATAGTGAGGGAATAGGGAAGTGTCTTAGTTGTCTGGTGTTGCCATAACAAAAATACCACTGTGGCTATCATTAAAGAACCGAAACTTATTCTAATAAAGCTAGAAGCCCAAATCAGGACACCACTTCTAAGGGAGGAACCTTCTTTGTCAGAAGAAGGGAGTTCCTTAGCATTCCATGATTTATAGACAGTTCCATCATAGGTCTTCTGTCTCCCTTCATATAAGACTATGAAGAAGTGATTAGGTCTAGGACCCACTCTCCATGGGTGTGACCTCATTAACAGTAAAACACCATTCCTGTTTCCAAACAACCTCACATTTACAGGTACAGGAGGGAAGACTTCAACATAACTGCTTGAGGACATAAGTTAATCCATACCAGGAAGTAAATCAAAAAAGGTCAGAGGGATAGAGGATGTGTTAATGAGGGAGCCATCACCGTGGACACTGAGGACTTACTTTTGTTGGAGATCCATTAAGTGACCATGTTGATGAGACCAGGCCTTCAAGATGTTCCTCTAGTGAGAAGGAGCTGGCACTTAACGATCAACTCTGAAGATGTTAATTGCCATTGAGTTGATTCTGACCCATAGCAACCCTGTATAGGGTTTCTGAGGAGCAGCTGGTGAGCTTGAACTGCCGACCTTGCAGTTCAAACAGCTTTGCAAT